TCTAGTGCAGCATCCAGTTCTAAATTATCGAATTTAATGAGAATTTTTGGCACATCTCAAAAAACATGCCTAAATTTTTGTTCAAGAACATGACGGATTTTTTCGAGCTAGTGTCTTTCACCCGGTTTTTCTTTAAAAACGTCATTTGCTTAACCATGTTAAACATGTCAAGTTAACTATATGTCAGACATGTCAAATTTCTTACAATTTCGTCTTCCCCCGAGTTGAGTTAGAAAAATACCGCCAGAAATTATTATGCTTGCTCTTAAAAACAAAAAAAAAGCTTACAGGATGTCATCGTTGGATTGCTGGAGCTGCTGGGGCCACTACTGCCATTACCGCTTGCGTTTTGGAAACCGGACGAACAAACATTTACACTATACTTCGATGCGTTATAAGCAGACGATAGTGTTACTGCTTCACTATTAGCACCTAAAGTAAAATTGCAATCGTTTCAGGAAATTCTTTCAGAAATAGCTGATCTAAAAAATAGGCAAAAATCACTAGTCCGAAAACATCACTAGCCCTTCCTTATACACTGTCTGTGAGAAATGGAAAGATTCGGAAGTACTCTAAATGTACCAAGGAGGAAAAGTAGCCACCCGTTAGCAAGACTGTCGATAGTTTCTTCTTTCGAGCGCTGTCTAAGAGCAAGATGACGACGGACCAATGTCAATTTACTATCCAAAGAATGAACGAATTGTATAGGGATTGGTGGTATCACTGGCGGAGTCAAACCTTCCGATTTTCCGCCAGCATCAATACACAATAAACTCAAAAATTCAAAAGCACTGACTCAAAAATCGAGTATATCGTTTTTCAAAGCGACTGATGTTTAAATATTTTGATTCCGCAACAATTTAGGATTTAAGTTAGGACTCAATTTATAAGAAATTTCGTTTCCAATAAAAAATTCTGCAGTGCGTATCGTAAAAAGGACGCCGATCGGACGAAAAGTTCAGCTGGCCTTTAAAGCGACGGAGGAAGTTAATGCTTTTAGCTTACTTTCA